TTATATGTATAGTTGGGATTATGTTTTCCAGTGTGCATTATTTTGCATTTATCAACATTGAATTTCATGTGCCATTTTGTTGCCCAGTCACCTAGTTTTGAGAGATCCTTTGGTAGCTCTTCGCAGCCTGCCTGGGATTTAACTATCTTGAGTAAATTTGTATTGTCTGCAAATTTTGCCACCTCACTGTTTACCCCTTTTTCCAGATCATTTATGAATATGTTGAATAGGACTGGTCCTGGATCATTAAAGTTAATGGAAAGACACTGAAACTAAAAAGAAAACCCCAGTCTTGCAAAATTAAGGAAGGAGGGAGTTTCCCCTGCTTTGCGTAACCATGAATTGCCATAGTCTCAGAGTGTGAGAGAACAAAAACTGCAAACCCTTTTAAAAGAGAACATGTTTAAAGTGAAGCATATCCAAAACCTGAGGACTAGCATCTAAGCAAGCTGCTGTCTGAAACACTGGATCTTCTTTAAGACAGAGGGCATGTTGGGAAATTGTTCAGAGGCAATAGGTAGGGAGTATTTAGAGAAGGGAATTTAACAAATACAGAATCATAAAGCCTGAGGTTGTGTCTTCATGTTTATTTTCTGTGTAACTTGTATGTGTTTGCTTATTCTTACTATTTCATCTTTGAATCTGTGGTTTTTCTATTAAATAAACGTTTTGTTTATTTTTACCCTAAGCAGGTCTATATTGTGCAATCTTGGTGGAGTGTCCCAGCCCAAGTGGACTGATAACGGGGGGGGGGGGGGGGGGGCAGGTTTCCCTGCTTCAGGGATGGTGAACCGGAAGGGAAAAGTCTGAGTGTTTTGTTGTTAAGAACTCAGGGAATAGATTTGGGGAGACTCATGACCAGAAAGGCTATTGGGGTCACCCCGCTATCAGTAACTTGCGGGTGGAAGTCTGGTTGAGGCGTTAATTCTTATTCTTGGCTACTGGTGTGTGTCAGCTCTGAGCCATAGCATTAAGGCACCTAGATTTTCAAGGCAGGTGGTGACAGAACCCTTTACTGGTCTGGGTGATCCCCCAAATGTCACAAACATCTTTCTGCTAAAGATCGTGAAATGCTTTAGAAACTTTGCCACATGCTTTTGAGGTTATTTAGGGACAGTCTGTATCTGATCACAGTGACCCTGTCTCTTCCAGTTCACCAGTGATGCCTGGTTTGATGACTCTTTGGCTGTGCTTTGAATCCAGTGTGGAACATACAGATGGAACATGCATCCTGGGCTAATATACAAATCAAATTTTTAAAATGTTTGTCCTATCATGCTGTGTGCTAGCCTTGCTCGATGACTACATAATCTCATTGATGTAAACTTGGTCCCTATCCTCACCTTCATACTGCTTTGTGACCCACATTATTGCATCATATTTGAAAGTAGATTGCACACTTGTTTTGAAGTAGGGGCCATGTCTTATTTTTTTTCTATGAGCCACTGAACAGAGTTGACTGCTCTGTATTGTGTTATATAGGGATGACATCACCAAGCACTGAAATGGGTTGGAACATGGCAGGTGTTTAACAGTGCTCAGCAGAAAACTGTATCCAGTTGCATCTACATGGGAAATTTATGTGGCAGAATGTAACTAATTTACTTTGAATTTGTCAAGGACATTGGGACCAACTGCTATTCTTCCAAAAAGAGCCATGACTTTTTAATGACTGACACAGTTCTACATCTTATCCAATAGACAGGAGTGTCAATTCTTTGATATTGTGGACAGTGACAGCTGCAGGAAGCCAGTTGCAGCTCCCAGGTCCCTGACTGTCAGGCTCCAGCAGTTAAGAAGGCACTTTGTTGCTGTAACTTCCACTTCTGATGTAAGCTCTGTAATGCCACAAGGAGGTCAGGTGTAGGGGAGCTTAGCTGTAGCACACCCCCTTCTACTACTGACTGACTCCTATCACACTCTCAGCTCACCCAATAAGTCCTCCTTCCTGCTTATGCCAGAGATATGCAGCTGGAGTAGGAGGCACATATACTACCGCCTCCACCTTTACACCAACAGAGATCTCACACACACAGGGGAAATCAGTGACCAGTTTAAGTTCAGTTTGCAGCATCTGAGCATCAGAGGAGTTGAACACTTTTGGACAGACTCTTCATTGTTACTAACATAAACCATGACGCTTTTCAGCTGTTTAAAAAAATTCAGTACTTATATCAAAAGGAAATGAGGAAGGTTATAATGTAGGCATTGGCCAAAATTTCACAATCACCACTATTGTTTGTTGGATAGCTGTTACCCTTCCATCAAAGTACTGTAGTGACTACGTTTTAGCAATGTTGTATATTTATACTTGAGGCCCTTTTGAATGAAGGGTGCTATAGACATGTAAGAATTTTATTTAAAATATTTCAGTTGGGAATTAAATTACTTGACAGTGGCCTTTTATATGTTTTCACTTATACAATAGTAATAATTCCAGCTTTTAAGATTTTCTCTTCATTATTAAGAAACATTATATTTCTGTCCTTTATCTCTTCATTGTTTGTTTCCACTCTCTAAGTTGCTATCTTTGGAGAACCATCTGTCAGCAAAGGAGGTATGATCCTACTTCTTTCTCATTATGAGTGTTATAAGCAATTGTTTAAGATTCATTTCAAAACTTTTAAATTCTCGTTAGTAACTCATTTTCCACCTGAACTCTGACATCTGATAATTTAGTCTTTGTTTACAGTTTGTGGATCTCTCATGTCTTCTTTGCAGAGAAGATGACCCCTTTAAACAAATTGCCTGACTTTCTTACTGTGGTTTAATTAAAATTGTATGATGTATTATAGCAGAAAATACAAATTTCTGCCTTCAATTGGTTTGACGCTCCATTAGTATTTACTTCCTTTCAATCTGTGGATAAAAATATAGTTAATGGTGCATTTTATGGGGAATAGAGGTTGCCCCATTTATTTCTCTGCCATTCTTTTTGTTGCAGCAATTCTCTCTCTCTCTCCCTGCCCGCCTGCCTGCCTGAAGATTTGTTTTCCTTTGGGACCTGTCAATACCTCTCCCCACTGCTCCAGTACTGGAGAGTGACCTGTTCCATTCCTTTTCTCCCAAGCCCCAAACTAACTTTATCTAGATAGATAGATATGTTATATTTTAAGTTCGATATTACATTGAATATAGTATACAATGTGCACAAAAAATCTGAACCATAATTGCACACACCTCTTTGTACAGGCAATGGATGCCTAACTGTACAGTATGCAAGAACTGGGAGGCAAAAATCAAACTGACCGCTTAAGTCCTCCAAACCAACCCCTGCCAGCAGAATTCCTAGTTCTTTTCTTGTTCTGTGGAACAGGCAGGCTCTCCCGTAGGCATCAAGTCAGGGAAGGAGCAGCTTAACCAAGTTCATCCAGCACTTACCTCAGAGCCTTGAGTCAGAGCAACCAAACTTAGTCAGAAAACAAAGTCTTTAAGGCCCAGGTTCAGCTAGTGTCCCAGGTCCTGCAACCTATAGCAGCCAGCTTGGCTTCTCATCCCTTTCTGTCTTGCTCAGCTTTTTTATTTATATATACAGTCCCGAGATAGGGCAGCATGCTTTTTCATTGCCCTCCTGCCTGTTTTGGCCATAAATGGAAGACTGTCCCGTAAAGGGGTAGTACTCCCCATCACATTGATATTTTGAAAATTAGGTTCAATAAATATTATATCTCCTACTGAGATAAATCGTGATGATTTGTGATTAATTCAGTTAAGCATAACAAACATTTGTTTATCTTGAAAAAAGAACAGGAGTACTTGTGGCACCTTAGAGACTAACAAATTTATTAAAGCATAAGCTTTCGTGGGCTACAACCCACTAGCCCACGAAAGCTTATGCTCTAATAAATTTGTTAGTCTCTAAGGTGCCACAAGTACTCCTGTTCTTTTTGCGGATACAGACTAACACGGCTGCTACTCTGAAACCTGTTTATCTTGAAAATGCAGATAACTACACAAGATTTAAAAAGACCTAAAATTGTTTTATTGATAAAGGTGAGATACAAAGGTTTTGCTAAAAGTTAAAAACTTATTTGTAAAATTCCAAATGAGGAAGAAAAAGTACATAAATGTTCTTTGAAATATAATTGGCACTATACTTTAACAAAACTACATGGCTAAAGTCCTGAGGAATCTGCCACTACATACTTTCTTTTATCATTCCTTTAAAAAAGGTTCTTCCTAAGAAAGTTTCTAAGGTGGAGTGGCACTCTCCAATCTTTGTTTATGATACTTCTGGTGTCATTTCATTTCTTGGCAGAGTGAGTCCTCTGCAGCTCAGATTTCTCAGGATTTTAGAGATTCAGTAATTGTCTGAAAATCTGACTCAAAACATATTTGATAATGAAACTTGTTTCATTTGTGCCTCTTGGGGCTCCATTGCCGGCTCCCCCTTTCTCTGATAATGTTATCATCTGGAGTCAGCGGGGTTGCACAAGGAAAGTCAGTAGAGGATTTGGTCCAAAGTGGCAGTGTTACAAAAAGTGGTATCGTAGAATCCAAAATAAAATGGTATGGTTTCAAAAGATGTGATGCTCTAGGTGGTTGAAAGGGTCCAGTAGAAAATAAGATTACATAATAAAAATTCAAGACTAGATGTAGCAGGTAGAATGAGCGATGAAGCCACAGCAAAAAGCAAAGAGAATCCGTTAAGTGAAGATGTGGCAACAAGGTTTGGAAGTGCTGTGTCTATATGTTCATTTGCCGAAGTAGAACTGGGAGGTGGATCAGAGGCAGAAGAAAGAGCCCTATGGCATGAAATGACCAGGAATAAAAAAAAAAAAGATTCCAAATTGGAAAAATATTAACTAAAGTGATGAATATACAGTTTAGCTGTTGGTTATTTGAATCTAATAACACTAATATTATATATAGAAATATGCAAATAAAATGCAGTTGTAAATTTAGAAAGATGTTCTAAAACTGAGGTGATGTTACTAGATGTTTAGTTGCAGGAAAAGAGAAGGAAATGCTTTCCACTGAATGCAGTCTTGTATTTTCAGTAACCGTGTGGAAGCTTGGACAAGGGATGTTGATTTCCTGCTCAGACAAGAAGGCAGACCCATGGTGAATCTTACTGGCAACAAGACATTTGTGAGAGTAATGGAAAAAGATTGGCAGAATACTGATAAAGCAGCAAGTTGGATAAGGAAAGAAGCCACTAACTTTAGTCAACCATTTGTTCTTTACTTGGGATTAAATTTACCACATCCATACCCGTCACCCTCTACAGGGGAAAATTTTGGGTCCTCTACATTTCTGACATCTCCCTATTGGCTTGAAAAGGTATGTGAAAATGTACAGAAACTTAAATCAAAACGAATTTGCAACTGCATTTAGTATGTACAGTACCTTATTTCGCACACTATATAATTCACATCAAACTTGGGCTCAGGCCCAATTTTGATATTATAGTGGACTTGTAAGGACATCTGTGGATGAGATGTTAAGCATACTTCTTAAGGTTGCCCAGGTAGAAGTGAAAAAAGAAGGTGACAACTCCAGTCTCTCTTGGCCAATATTCCCCGACTCAGTAAAACCATTTCTGATTCCAAAAGGAGTGTATATTAAACTGGACACTTAATGGTGTTTGCCTGTACAATCCTTGCACTCCTAGTGTCTAGCTCATTGTTTTGTAAAGCATTTGGTAGCAACTTGGGTACAAGAGATGCTATATAAAATCAAATTGTGTCTGAATTCTGTGTTGGCAGGTTGATCTTAACCCAGAATGGCTGCAAAGGTGCTACATCAATGACCTTGCACAATGTAACTTTTTGTCTTTTCTGTTACCTGATGCTTTGGTTACTAATCTAGCTCTTTCAGTTTTTCATTCTAATGCTAAGAAAAATCTAGCTACTTCCATGTGTAGGAAATCAGCAGATACCATTCTCTCTGGGAGAAGGAGTGAACAATTTCTGTTTATCTGCCTCTTGTATTGTCCACAAATACAGTTTTACTATTGTCACAAAGCTCTCTCGATTAGTTACCATGGCTCCCACTGCCTAAATGGCAACAAGATTTCACACAACCCAGTAACTCAGCAGTAGGCTTTGAAGAGACTTTACATTTATCTGCCCAGTCTTTACTACTGGGGTGTTGTAAAGTCAGTTTACCTATGTAATTTGATGCCTCCCCCCCCTTACCATAATATCTGATACCCTTTCAAGCATTTAAAAATAAAAATAACAATCACTCTCTTTCTTCATTCTTTGCCTGGGAAAAAGTAGTTAGATTATTATGAGGTTTTTTAAATTTTTCAAAAATGTATTGTTTTATTTTGAGTTGTATGTGAGAGCACCATGTTAAGGGAAAGCAAAGTCAATGAGATGTGTTTTTACATTTAGTTTTGAATGCAGGAAGGCCTGTGGTCATTCTGATCTGTTACAGGAGGGAGTTACATAAGCTAGGGCCAGCTTCTGTGAAGATTTTTTTTTTTCCTGGTTTTATGAGCCACCCTCCCCCATTTGTTGACTATTTCATGGTTCCAGCTGAACACAGTTGTCATGGTTATGGAGGAAGACATGGTCTCTCAAGTAGCTAGGAGCAATCTCATGGAGATCTTTGAATATGAGGACAGAGACCTTGAATTAAATTCTATATCCAAGGGGCAGCTACTGCAGAGTGAAGCATCAGCATGATGTTTCTAGTACCCTGTGTTGCTAAGCAGATGGTCTGCTGCATTTTGTAGGGATTGATGCTTTTCCAGGGCACATGGCTTTGTTCCTGAATATGAGTTGCAACAATCAAGCATAGAGATCGTTAATTTAATGGATCACTATTGTCAGGTCTAAGGCCTATAGGAGGAGTTCAATCTTCTGGCCAGTCACAGATGTTGACTTAATGTGAGGGCAGAGGCCTTGAATAATGGGGAATGTTCTAGAAGAACCACCTTGTTTGAGGAACTTCTCTCTCCCTACTGGTATTCCACTCTTGCCTGAATTCAGGTGTAGCCAGTTTCTCATTTCATTTAGGCACTGAGAAAACTTGGAGCTGTTGCTGTTTACGTTTGATGTAAAGGAGATAAAGAGCTAGGTGTTGTCAATGTATGCTGCTGGCACTTCAGACCTTGCTGTCTCACCAGCTCTTTTAATGACTTCATATAAATGTTGGATAATATAGGAGAGAATATTGAATTTTGTGGAAGGTGAGGACTTTGGAGATGTAGGCATGAATGGCCATAATTTCTCTCAAGTTTGGTCTGAGAGGAGGAAGTTAAGGCATTTCAAAGTGTTTCTGTACCACCCTGTAACCTCTTAAAGGTGGGACAATAGTATTTGGTGGTTAAAGGTACCAACTTCTGAAGAGAGGTCTAACAGGGTGAGTGTTGATGTACTTCTCTTGTCTATGGACAAGGATTCGTTCAACAGAGAATTGCTATCTCTGCAACATGCCCTGGCTTGAAACAGAATACTGTCAGCTGATAGGTGGAGTTGGAGTCTGGTTTTGTTCCCTTCTTAATTAGCCCAATAATAGTGTATTTAATCAAGAAAAGGTAATGGAAATGACATTTCAGTGGCAGCTGTGGGGAGTCTGTAGCACTAGCTAGAGTTTGGGGAACTCTCTCCACTGCTGAACTCTTCTATCTCTGATGCTTCAGCACCCCATCAGCATTAAATAAATGAGCAATGGAGGCTCCAGATGTACCTTGCTTGTCCTCTATCAGTCCCACAAATTCTGTCAATATTCCCCTACCATAGGACACATACATACATATTTAGAATCTAAAGTCATTAGAGCCTGTGGAGTTTTGTCTATATTGTGGTATTTTCATCAAGAATAAAAAATAAGTTCTGTTGATGATGAATTTGTTTCTTAGGATGATATTTACATGCTGCTGTAAATACTTGCTGTACAAGCCCTGACATGTCAGTTTTATTAATTCATTTTGAGGTGCCAAGTGTCCCCAGCCCAGTCTCCATTGCCTTCCTAAAATGCATGTAAGCCTCCCAGGACCTGCTAGTACATTGTGACCTAGGACTTGTCAACCCTGCCTTCAGCTGTGATTATTAATTAGTAAGATCATGAAAGTTTTAATAAACTTTTTTACTTTTTTAAGTCATAGAGGTTTCACATTGCGTAGTATGTAATTCACAGTTCTAAATATATAATTTAGAAATAATTAATTCTTGAGCAGTAAAAAAACCAAACATTTTAAAATCTGAGTCAAACGGCAATGCTTATTTTTATATTCAGGGTCCAGTTTACAAATGTGGTGCCTAAATAGAAAATATCCATTATAGACCATGGCATTTAAATCGGCACAAGGCATAAAACTGGCCTAAATGCCAATCTGAGCATCCAAATGCCAGAATTTATATATCCAGTATATATTTGAAAATTAGACTACCCATATGAATTCTTTTTCCAAGATACAAATTTCACACCAGCTCTTCTGGAAATTTTCCCAGAAAGAGTAAATTGCCATGTTGATCTATTTTCCCAGATAACGCCTAGTCCTGTGGAGGCACATGGTACAACATCTTTCTTTTATGTGGTGCTATGCCCACACTTCTGAGATTAGTTACTGAATATAGTTCTAAAAGACTATGTCCTTTATCTATTTTTATTTTTATTTTTTGAGATATCAGCTGGCAGGTCACATGCAGCTGGGTCCTACTCTAGTTTTCCAGCTGATTTTTACTGATGTCCAGGCTCTTCTTTGCAAGGTGGTGATTGAATATCTGTAAAAGTATCTAGAAAACAAGGAGAAAGTGGCAGGAATATAACAGATAATAAGCAGGTGCTGCGTGGACCACAGTTAGAGAATTTCTGATTTAAACTAATGTTTTTCTCAAATCCATTGTAAAAGCATTACACTCACTTGCCAAAATAATTCAATTTCCTCTTGTTTTTAGGTGACGTATGAAGCCATTAAAATTCCAAAATGGCCTCCTCTTTCAGACATGCACCCAATAGATTATTATTCTTCTTACACCAAGAATTGCACTGGACAGTTTACAAGGAAAGAAATCAGAGATATCAGAGCATTTTATTATGCTATGTGTGCAGAGACGGATGCCATGCTTGGTAGGTAATCTTCCAGAATAATAATACAAAAAAGAGATTTGAAGCTGTTAGTAGATAACTCTGATCAGGCTAGCCTTTTGTAAAGAGTTACTCAAAGTTATGTGTAAAATAGCTTCCTAGATATTGCATAAATCAGGGGTGGCCACCCTGAGCCTGAGAAGGAGCCAGAATTTACCAATATACATTTCCAAAGAGCCACAGTAATACGTCAGCAGCCTCCCATCAGCTCCCCCACACTCCCAGCGCCTCCCGCCCACCGGCAGTCCTGCTGATCAGCAGGGCCGGCTTTAGGCCGATTCAGCCGATTCGGCTGAATTGGGCCCCGCGCCAAGAGGGCCCCGCGCTGCAGCTCTTCACCCCGCCCCCAGCTCACTTCCCCCTCCTCCCCTCCCCTGAACGCTCCGCCCCCTCCCCTGCT